ATCTTTGCCTTCTTTTTCTGTTTTTTGCTAAGCTTCACTTGGCATTTCGGGGTTGGAGTGCAGGTTTGGATATCCGTCGTTTTGATTGACGGACAGCTCCTCTTGAAAGCGGAGCGGATGCCTTCTACGAAAGATTCTCTTTCCTCATCAGATGTGTCAACTCCCTTAATGGGGTGCTCTTTCCTTCCTGCTGCTATCATCTTAGCTCTACTTCTGGTAACCATATGAGAAGGTGAGTAGGTTGCCTTACCCTTAGCTAATTTTGGAAGCTGCAATGACATTTTAGAGGAACTAGGAGTTATGATTCTAAAAGGTTCAAGCTTAGAGTCAATAAAAACAGTTTTCTCTCCTTCTGAGTGAGTGTATAGGGCAGGTTCTTCAAATTCCGGGCCTGCATCCTCAAGAGCATTTAGTTTCATCATCCTTGCAGTAGAGGAGCAATTAAATAAATCCATCAGGTTGTCACCTCCACTGTTGAGATTACATGCCTTTAGGGTTTCCTCATGGTCCTCACTTGATTCAAGAATCCCGAATGGATTAAGGGAGCAGGGAATGAAAGTAAGAACTGCTTGAGATGTAATATATTGTCGGTCGAGAGGTGCTTCACACCCCATGTCTGCCTCTGCTCCCTCCCAGTGTTCTTTAAAGAGGAGAGTGTCGTCTTCCTTATCCAATCCTGTTAAACTCTGATCTGCACGAAGGGCAGGGATTGCACTACTGAGAGCATGTAAACCGAACTCAGAAGTAAGTGACTCGGTGTCCATTGCAAACAAACACTTAGAACATGAGTGCTCATCCAAGTCTAAACTTGGACCAGTACAAAGCAATGCAAATTCTCTTTCAACAGCTTTGGGCTTCTTGATAGATTCATTTTCCCAACTAAGAAAAGAGTTGGAAGCTGAAACTTCTTGGTAAACTGGTTTCACTAAGGGTGGTAACCAGTCTCCACATCCTATGTTTGACATACTGCTAGCATCAACTGAGCATAATATTGACGTATTCTCAACTGCCCTACAACCATCCTCAATAGATGAGCATAGTCTCGATTTCTCAAGTGCACCACGGTAGAATTCTTGAAGGTTTAATGTGAAAACTCTGAGCAACTGAAAATTCATTCCTATTGGGACTGAAATTGATCTAGAGCCCTCAATTCTAGATTCCGAAATAATCACAAAGATCTCATTATCAAAATGTTCCACTGCAACTCTAATAACCCTCTTACCAATGTGCTTTGTAAAAACCCAACTAGGCTCAAAACAGATTCTAAAAAGACATTCCAGTATCCAACTCAAGAGGTCAGAATCGAACTAGATAACCTTGTTATTTTTACCCTCAATAGATAAACAAAAGGTCTGGTGGTGAAATGAGTGGAAAAGACAGAATTCTTCATTATCCAATTTGAATGATGCTCGCAAATTCTTCGTAAGATGAGTAGGTGGTTGGAACTGAAGCAATCCTTCTTGCTGTAACACCTCTCGAGGGGCTGACCTGTGCGAATTTCGATCATTAGCAATAGCGGCTGAGTTGGGTTTCTGAGAGGGGTTCCACCAATTTCGGCGATGGGTAAGGGAGCCTCTTCGATCACCATGTCGATATCTAGGTCGAAATCTATCTAGGGAGTTAACGCTGCACGTTGTGGTACCTGGATCAAAGAAATAGTTCTTGTCACGACCTCGATTGAATTGATTTCTTCGATCACCGTTATAAGCCCTTTGATCCTTTGAATTAAAGCAAAAGGTTGGTGGTAGCCGGAAAAATGAAGAACGATCTACAGGGCGGCGGCGAGAATCGCCCCGCTCCCTCCTCTCTCTAAACCTAAACATTTTCTCCAAAGAATTACATCTTTATTAGGCATTAATTTGACATATATATATATACATATATATATATATATATATATATATATATATATTATATTGAATATATTATTTTGGTTTGTCATTTTAATTATGAAAATAATTATTTTGACATAAACTATTTAAAGTATATTTGTATACTTGTTTAAAAATGATATTGATATTATATTTGATTTAAAATTAATTTTATATTAATTTTTGATGTCAAATAAAAACACTTTAAACACTTGAGTGGAGAAGAATTTCACAAATCTTTCTCATATCATTGTTCGGCCAAGTGGAGATTTATGGAATCAAATTTTTCTTTTGATTGATTCATTAGTAGAGCTAATAATGTTTTGTCATTTAGTTAATGACAAAGTCAAATTAATAACTTTTCTTCCTTATAATTGGCACGCCACTTTGTAAAAGGATTAAGGGAGTTGGGCTATTGTTTAAGATTGTATTTTGGCCATAGTAATCTTGAGAGAGAAAAGTGATTATTTTGTGTTCCATTAATATCATTTTGTGTATAGAAAATATCTATAATATTTTCTAAATATTATTAGAAATATTTTCTATTGAAATATACAAGATTATTATTATCCCAAAATTTTAATCTTTATATTTTATACTATGATAATCTTTACTAGCATAAAGATTGTGGTAGACTCCGGCGTTGTTCGTGTGTCAAAGTTGGAGATCGGACGCTTGAACGGTTACGTTTGCACTTTCAACGCTCTTCCTACGACTTCTTCGTTTTTACCGCTTACGGAGAAAGGTATAAATTTCTTACTCACTATAAGTTTTAGTACGTGATTCTGGGCAAGATAATCATGTTAGGATGTTAAAATTTTTATATTCCGCTGCCTATCCTTGCATGGTTACCTTTCAGCAAGACCCTTAAAATTGTGAACTTGTGTTTTGTGGATGATTTAATCTTACTTTGTAGAGATGATGAAAGATCAATTGGATGTATAATGAAAGCCATTGCACATCTAGAGAAAACTACTGGACTATCTATTAATCTGAGTAATAGTACTGGCAGGGGTACGTAAAGCAAATATAAAAGAGCAGGCTATTGGGACTGATTGGTATTCCAGAGGGAAAATTGCCTTTCACATACATGGGATGTCCAATTTCATCTAACAGACTCTCATCCACTAACTGTGAGGTCCTAGTGGAGAAGTTAACTGCTAGAATCACATGCTAGAAATCTAAGAACTTATCTTATGCTGGGAGAGCATGGTTAATGATCAATGCTTAATTTTGCTTACTTTATAATCACAAATCTATAACGTTTCAGAGTACCAAGAATTGTATCTACCTAATAAACGTTAATTTGTGAATAGGGTGGCAAAATGAAGAAACATTTGGAAAGAACACAAATTTCAAGGAAATGCGAAAGGATTCGATGCGCTAATCAATCGTCAAAAGCTTTACTTCGGAATGTCGAATGGAAAGCGGGCGATTTAGGAAGCAAATTGTGCCAAAAATCTTGAAGAGCTCTAATCCAGCGAAGGGCAAGTTTGACCTGGGTCGGTTTAGCAGTCTAAAGGCGCAAGAAGGCTACCGAGCTCTAATCCGGCGAAGGGCAAGGTTGACCTGCGACCGGTTACGCACTATCCTGTAGATAATTAAAATTGTCCAGCCACGTTCCTTTGCTAAAACAACACTCGACATTTCCGTTGGAGCAGAAAATCGACGAGACAAACGCCCCAAATCTTCCCAACGTTCATCTAAGGTACAAGACCATAAATTGGAGATTAATTCCTTGCTTTTGGGACATCCATTATCACCCCCAACTATCCTGTTCTCAAAGTTCTCCACTCCTTGTGTTCTTGGTCAAGCTCAGAAGAGAGGGCTAGGGTTCCACATTCGACCTCGAATTTCTGCTTGCTCCGTGTAAACTCTTCTCCTAATTTCTTTGTAATGTATTCCATTGTGTTGTATTTGCTTGTTTCCATAATGTTTTGTGGATAAATCCCTCCACCAAGGTTAGGGACGATGCCATTGTAATATCTATTGAAAATTAGGAGGGTGTATTCAATTTAGATTTTAAAAGATTTTGAAAGATTTTTTTAAAATACATGGATTATGTAAAATCTATGGATTGTTTTAATTCTACACAGAGTTAGATAGATTGTAATGTATTTTATTGATATGATTTTAAAGGATTTTGTGTGATTTGTTTAAAAAAACTTTTCTCAAATTGAAAAGAAGATAGACCTTCAGTCACTGCCAGGAGCTCGACACTTTCTCAGAAAAAGTTTCAATGCAGCTTCATCCTCTACCCACCTCACCCTCACATTATCTCTTATTTGTTCTATTTACAGAAAAAATAATAGAATTTGTCAACAAAACCTAATAAAATGATTAAAAAAATTCATCAACACAGTTGAACAATTTTGTTAATAAAAGAGGAAACAATAGAAGCCATACAACCTACTCGGGCGGAGTGAAGATTGTTACGGTGGAAGTAAAGTTGGTTATGGAGTCGGAGTGGAAGAAGAGATCGGAATCGGCTATGAGCTGAATTATGAGAGACATGGCAGTGTAGCCGGAATTCGAGAGGGCTTCTACAGTGGTCCGTAGAAATTGAGGCGGCGACTGTGGCGACTGGTCGCCTCGTGCAGCGGATAGAGAAATGGAGAAGAGAAAAAGTGCAGGTGCAGCGAGAGGGAGCGGTTTTGAGAGCTCGCGAGGGAGATTTTGAGAGCCAGATCTGAATATCTGCTTCTTTGGACGTTGCAAGAGATTTATGAAATCTTTGGATGTTGCAAGAGATTTGTGAAATCTTTGGAAGACGACCAGAAGCGAGGATGGAGGAGAGATGAAGAAGATGGCTGAAGAAGAACGTCCGAAGAAGAAGAAACGGCCGAAGAAGAAGTAGGCGGAAGGATTTTATAAAATCTTTGGTTTTTTGGTGAGATTTGGGAATGGATTTATATTTATACCCAATGCTTAAAAATCCATCAAAATCTACATTTTTAAAAATCTTTAAAAATCTATCAACTTTTTGAATACTATCATATTTAGAAGGAATTTTTAAAATCTCAATTGAATACATTCAGATTTTAAATGACTTTTTAAAATCTGAATTGAATACCTACAGATTTTCAAAATCCCAAAAAATCCATCAGAATCCTGATTGAATACACCCCCCTTAGTTCTTCATTCAACATCATTGCAATTTATTCTTCTGGTTATCTTTGTGCTTTGATTATGGTGGCCACATATGATTAGCGTTATTTTTGGGATTTTGTGATGGAACTAGCGTTGAAGCATAATCCGTGCTCTAGAAGAATAGACGTTTAGCCGAGTTGGGATATAGATATACTCAACTTCTAGACGGTGTCCCCCTTTTTGAAGTTTTGAGCATTAATGGGGTTGGCTCTTGATGTATGCAAGACGTAACGGTACTTGCACGAAGATGCCAATTACCCTTTTGTTTCCTTAATCGGAACAAGAGGTACCTTTATGACTCCGCACTTGCAATAGTTGAATGAAGTTTCTTAGTTTTAGTAGATATTATAATTGGCTAGTCCCGAACTCCTCAGTACCTCATCTCTTGCTCTAATTTCCTGCGTTTTTACACTCCTTCACACACCTCTTTGGAAATCTGTAACACCCCAATCCGTATAACCCGAAATTACACGAATTAAGGTGAAACGAGAGTTAAATAAAAATTTCGCTTGACATTTGAAAATGACAATTACTTATAAATATCAAATTTACAGACTCTGGATCGCGACCCATTTAAAAATATTTTCAGAGTAATGCGGAAGTACAATAATAATCAAATCATGACACATTTTAAAATCTGATGATCAAACATTTGCNAATTACACGAATTAAGGTGAAACGAGAGTTAAATAAAAATTTCGCTTGACATTTGAAAATGACAATTACTTATAAATATCAAATTTACAGACTCTGGATCGCGACCCATTTAAAAATATTTTCAGAGTAATGCGGAAGTACAATAATAATCAAATCATGACACATTTTAAAATCTGATGATCAAACATTTGCGTGCCATCCTTGCATCTCCTCTGACTCAATGCCCTCGGGGAATGGTTCCATCATTGTCGTCTTGTTACCTACGTGTAGTCAACGAAAAATACAAACTACACGCTCAGCGAAATCGCTGAGTGGTACCACACTAGAATTGTAGAATGATTCACAGACATATACATATACATATATATATGTCCATAAAATGTATAATAATATTCATAATATGGCACATTATATCATATAGACAATTTGATGAATCATGATGATAAATATTTAATGATAATTACATGATGGCACATTTAATTTAATCAATTTGATTGTTCTTGATGATGATTACATGATGCGTAATTGATGTCACACATAGTCATGATGATTTTACTTGATGATGATTTCATGCTATATGTTTCTAACGAGCAAGGACACCCTTGCGCTATGAGATTCGCCGGTTTGGTACGATGAACTCACGCGGCCTTAGTCTCACAAAGGAGACTAGAAAGATATGGGTGATACTCTAAGCCTGAATACCATGTACGTACACTAAGCCCGGAACAGGTGATGTCAGACTAGTAAGTCCCGCACATCACGCTATAAGAGACGCAATTACGCATGATCTCTCACGCATGCATATGATATGATATGCTACAATATGTGTGATGATATGAGTCATATGATATGAACAATTTGTAACCAATATGAATGGATAAATATACTTTATTTTATTTGGGTGAAATCTGATAAAATATCATTTAATTAAGCTACGAGGCTTGGAACGGTCGACCGTTTGGTGCGACGCTCGACCTTGATCTTCATCAGGTCGGATTTGACGGATCACCGTGATGGTCGACCGCGGTTGACCGGCGGTCGACCGTTGTTGACTGGATGGCGATGGTGGTTCTCGGCTGGGCAGGCAACGGTCAACCGTTAGTCACCGGCCGTCGACCGTTTTGCTGACAGTCGTGGTCCGTTTTGATGTTTAACGCGACGGTCGACCGTTTGCGTCGACCGTTTGGGTCTGCGAATCTTACTCTTGATATTTTGAGTGTCCAAAAATACTTCTTTGAGTCTTTTAAACACCTTTGATTAATATATACATATTTTTGGGTTGATCTCAAATGTTTATATATACTTATGTATATATATATATATATTAACTTTATGGATCTGGTATATTTTGGTCTTAACACAAAGATGACTAATATATGTATCACATATATATTTTGGGATGATTTCAACATATGGATTAACATATATGTTCATGTACGTATGTGATGAATGATTCGACAAGTCTAACGCAAAGGTACATACCTGGAAATCATCGGCCGAAACCTTACGGATGAGCGGGAGTGGAAACAACATTGAAATTTGCCAACTTTGTCATTTCCGTCACAACTGGACAGCCTGCGATATTTTGGGCATATCTCCATCTCTTCTTCACGAAATTGCAAACCGTTTGATTCTGTGGATTCCTAAGATGTAAGGCTATAACTTTCGTATAGAAAGTATTTTGAGATAATGAATTTTAAATAGTGTAAATCGGACAGGAAGTTAGGGGAAAGTTGCTGTCCAGAATTTTGAACACTCCGGTGAACAACGGTTCCGACGATTAACCCATTAACTTCAATATTCCAACACCGAACCTTCTCTACGATACCTTCCGGATGTTCCTACTAATTGTTAGAGAGTTTATGGTGAGTTCTTGGAATGAAACAATATGAATTTGGTGAAGAAGGTGGTCCAACCCGAGGAGCTCGCCACCACTGGCGCAGTCCCGGTATTTTGGCCATATCTTCTTCGTTACTTAACGAAATCGCGAGCCGTTTGTTGGGTTGGATTCGTATCGTCCGGGGCTACAGCTTCGGTTCAAAAGGTAGTTCGAGATATTGGATGGAAAATTACAGAACTTACGTAGAAGTTGATGCTGCGTTTGGAACTCATGATTTGGAAACTATGGATGGTTTCTTCTTGTTTCTTCTTCTTCCTTGAACCATCTATGGAGGAGGGTGTTTTCTTCTCTCCTTGAAGTTTCCGACAGTGAGAGAATGGAGAGAGGAGAGATGAGATGATGGTGATGATGGTGGAACATGATGATAATGAAGATAATTGTGGTGGTGGAGTATTATAACATAATACTTTGGAAGTATTATGTAGGGAGAGACTTTAGGTGGCTAGTGGAGCAAAAGTGGAGCTAGGATGGGCTGGTCCGTGATTTGGAAGAGATTTGATAATTTAAGTTTTGGCTTTTTGCCAAAACTAAACAGTTTTTTCCAAACGGTACGCACTTTTTCGCCCAAACTGCTCCGAATTGAAAACGGATTGTAATTTTAGAATTAGACTGTCAAAACTAGAACTTTGACGTAATCAAAATATTTTTCTAAGAACTTTTATTTTTCTCAGTGTTCAGGTCTGTCTCCGTTATAAATTAATTTAATAATATGAATGAGATAAAAATATACGAATTAAAGCCAAATGATTAATATGATGTTATCAAGTGTCAAAAATTAAGATTTCTAATTTTATGAAATCACTTTTGAATTGAGTTTATTTTTATGGGTCAAAGTTACAAATTTTAATATTTAAAAAATCGTCATAGTTTGAAATTTATAAATCAGATGGATTCATAAAATGTACCGTTTGATTCGTCTCTTTGAGACATATCCATAAAAATAAGTTTTTAACAAAAAGTCATTATTTTGAAAATCCCTTTATTTTTGGTCAAACGTATAAATATTCTTTATTGGTCAAAATGATAACAAAAATTACTTTTGTTTTATAATAAATTTTAGGCCATATTTTGTGGCGTTACATTTCTTCCCCCCTTAAAGAAATTTCGTCCCCGAAATTTCCTTAAGTGAAGTCATTTAAAATGATGATGTACAAAATAATGAATATTCATTGTTTTTAAAACACAAATTTTGAAAAGTTGTTTTCTCTTTCTTTTGTTGAGTGTCATGATTATGACATGTTTTCTTACGAGAAAAGATTTACGCGGATGATAGATGTAATGTGCTTGGATTTCTTTCATGAAGACTTGCGTCGAATATACTCTTAACTTGCTCTTGTTGTGTTGTAAGAGTATAGGTTGCGTTTCTTGAATGTGGGGTAATTTACAAAATTTTCTTTTTGAATTTCTTCTAGAATCATTCTCAGATGACTTTGTCAGGAATGTTTGTTTCACAAATTACGCTTCATTATGTACAAGCTGGAACGAATTGTTTTACGTTTGACATTTTTTTTACATAATCGTATTTTGGGGCATGACTATTACCATAGCCATCATTCTAAGTTTCTAGATGAATACGAAATTATAGTTTCAAAATTTGAACTCTCATTAGCGATCCTTAATGGAGTTGTTCTGACTAACGTAACGTCAACAAGCTGATTTCACATTGTTTAATTTATGCATGCCTATAACCGTAAACATGCATATCACACTTATATATAACAATAATTTTTTTCATCACATTGTAATGATTGGATGAACGTTTTGATAGCACTTGCTATTTGTCACTATTTGTTTTATCAAGATGATATGTAGTCATTCTTGAATACTGATTTTCTGATTGATGATTCAAGAACTACCTTGGAATTTCAGAATTTCTCAATAATTATGAAAGAACTTCATGCTCGAAAATTATAATTATATATATATCCTTTAATATAATATTTGAGAGTTGATAGCCTAGAATTCTGACACGTGGCAAGTTAGGGCTCTTATTTTGACGACACATCGGATGACACGCGTCTCATTATTGGCGAAGCTCTCCTTCGTCCTTCTAGTACCCGTTCTTTCTCCCCCGACTCCTTCGCGCAGAAAGAAGTAAACATCCTGGAAATCTTCATGCTGAAAAGGAAACAAATCTTCTCGCTGCCTTGAGTTCTCGCTGCCATGGGTCACGGATGGAAAGAAATCACAGGTACTCCGCTACGCCTTTCCATTTTCTTCTTCGCTACCCCAATTTTTCCCTAATTTTTACCCAAAATTAGGGTTCATAAATAGCAATCTGCTTTCTTCAATTGATTGAAACAATTAAAATCGTAATTCATTCCTAATTCATATTCTAATACCCTAATTAGATTTGAGGAATCATATACCTAATTTATATTCTATTAATAGATGTATTTTTTCTTCCTATAATTATATCTATATATACATTCTCCTCAAGAACAACCCAAAATTCCTGACTTACGCATACTATTTTCTGAGATTCGAGATTCATATTCCTTTTTGTTTTTTTCGTTCAATCTGTGACAATGACCATCCATCCACTGTCGAAGATCACTCCAAGCAGTGAATGTTGGAGGATCATGGTTCGTGTCGTACGATTGTATACCTTACCCGCTTATAATGATGAGAGGACTACAAATTGCATTGAAATGGTGTTCATGGATGAACATGTATGTCACCTTCTCTTGATTCATCATATTCCTTCTCATTTTTTTGTTATACATTATATTAGTTCTATTATTCTATATATGTTTTTCCGTGTGGTATTACTGGCATATTTTTAGTGTGGTTATATTTGTTTTTTATGAATTATAAACCTGGCATATGAAAGTAGTTTGGCTTTTTTTGTTAGTGGCATTATTGGCATATTCTTAGTGTGGCATATTCTTAGTGTGGCATATTGTTAGTGTGGCTACTTTTCCAAACCTGATATTTCACTGCTAGGACCTCAGCATGTCATATCATCAGCAATTTACTTGCATTCATTTGAAGTACTCTGTATATGATATTGACTAATTGTGCACTAGAAGAAAATTAAGTTGTATTTTTTAAATATTGAAACCTTAACATGTAGTTTGTATTGTTCTTTCACTTCTTTGTATATACAGAGTTCTCCTTGAACATCAAATGTAGATTTATTTTTTAAAAAAAAAACTCCAAACTATTTATAAAGTACTAAAATCATTTAGTTGCTTAACATGTTAAAAATAGCAGTGCATATCAACTCATAAAGTACTATTATAAAGAAAGAAAATCAACCACCATTAAATTAGCAGAAATTAGTGATATACAATTGACATAGAGTGACATGATAGCAGAACAATGGCTTATGTAGGCTACTGTTTGTGGCTTTCTTGTGCCAAAGTAATTAAAAATTGCATTTGATGGGTTGTAGAAATTTGGTTTACCTTCCTTTTAAAATTTGGACATAATATAAAATACACTCACACCTTAAATATGGCAAACAATGTTTTTCATAAGAATGCAGTCTGGCCAGTAGTTCTGCTAAATGCAGTGTGCTATACTTGGTGCCCTCTTATAGAAGAATGAATGCTTCGTGTATTATTATATAGACACTAAGCAGTCTCTACTATCAGTTTCCTTCTACTGTGTTTGCATAGTGTATGATTCAGATGTTTTGTTGTTTTTTTAAAATTATATTCAGATTTATTGTTGTTTCCTAAGAGGATATGTTGTTGCTGATTTTTTATGATGTTTAATTTGAACAAACAAATGTAGGGAACTACGATACATGCCACTGTCCGGAGAAGTTTGGTTGGAACTTTTGAGAAGCGAATAAAGGAAGGGTCTGTGTATGTCTTTGCCTATTTTGGCATCGGCATTAGTAGTGGAAATTATCGGACCTCTCGACATGAGTTCAGGCTGAATTTCCAACCAAGAACCACTGTAACTGCATGTAGCTGTGAGAGAATACCTGTGCATGGTCTTAAGTTGACTACTATTTCAGAAATATTGCAGGCAGACTCAAACTACCCGTATTTAGTT